CGGTTGACAAATTAAAAGTGCAATTTACCTTTATCTCATATTCTTAAAGTTATGAATGAAAATGTCTTAAGATCATTTTATGAAGGGTTCGACAAGCGATGTTTCAAAATCCCTTTTGTTGCTTCTGTATTCACTGACACATTGCGTCTTGGCAAGTACTTGTCATATTTGATCCGAATTTCAATCATTAAAGAAAAAGCTACGAAGAAATATATTCTGTTGAAAGCGGTTTCGTAAAATTTGAAAATTTGAAATGATAAGAACTTGTACAAAGACAGGGCGTTCATCGTTTGCCAAGAGAGTATTGTGACACTCTTCAATAAGCACTTCCACTACCCAGTACCCGATAGTCAGCGAAATACACCCTTATTAATGACAAACTTATTCATCCAATGTAAATGAGGCCAAGAGTCCATTTATCGGGCGTTTTATTTTCAAACGAAGGTTAAAGGTAAATTAATGATTAAGAAATTGTGGGAAGGAACATTTCACAACAGGATCATAGAAATTCACCGTTAGTAACTTTATGACCGTAACTAATTTCCCTGAATGTTTCTGGAGACCAAAGTAAATCTTAGAATGCTAAATACACAAGGTCAATACTATTTGCGCTAAATCTTCATGTTGTTGATTCAAGGCTAGAGAACAAACATGACCTTCTTGGGTGTACCGGTTGCCTGTCTTTACTCCCCCTAACATTTTAACAATGCCAAAGGGCAAAGGAGCTCGCAGAAATTAGACACAAGTACGAAATGGACAAATACGTTGTATTTTTACTCAACAAATAAATAAAAGACTTGAGCATAAAGAACGGCTGACATTTTCACCACCACAAACGGCATTTATTTTATAAAAAAGCCGGAAAGGGCAAAAGATTAATCGGAAATCAATGGAAACAAATGTTATATGGTCAAATACTAAGTAACCCTGTTTAAGCAAAAGTGCTTGATTTTTCCTCATTTGATACAAGTTTTACAGAATTGCTAAGTTTCCTTTCCCGTACTTTCTCCAAAGGGCAAAGGATACAAAGTAAAGGAATGAGATCGGTAGTAGATGGGCAAATACCCCGTAATCTAGCACAGAGAGCCAATTACACATTGCAAGGGGAAGATTGACAATTTTTGGGAAGGACCGAAACATCTTTGCTTTTTGGTAAAGGGCAAAGGCCTAATAAGCTATAAATACTATATAAAAATATAGAAAAACACTTGTTAACCCAGATGAGGTTATAGTACATACCATCAGTTTCTTACATTCTTGTAACCAGAAAAATAGAGATTCCTTCCAATCTGTTGGACTACCATAAAAGAGGAAAGAAGGAAATTTCAACATTGTAAATATTACATATATTCATGTTAACAATCAAAATATCTTCTGTAACAATACTTTATGGTGTTTTATATTGTTTCTGAAGAAGAACTACTTTTGCTTTATTATTATGAAATGATGCAAACTGATAATTTCTTCAGATTTTTTCACTGATGATCGTCCGAAAATAATATCAAAATATGAAATAAGGTTATCTACAATAAACGGGACTTTGTCGTAAACATTTGCTTTGAATGTTGACTTTTCAGAATACATAAAAATACTTACCCTGGTTTGTCAGTAAGGAAAAACGTTTATAATCTACCATGACTATTTCATTTTTCTTTTCATAGACATTACGTACCGTGAAAACGTATTTTATCATTAAATGAAGAATATTCCTGAAGTTGTACAAAAACCACGACTGTTATGGATGTTGAGGATACTTTATTTCAAGATACCATATTCTCCTAGACTTACGATATTTTTTTGCGTAGCTGTTGTTTTCATAATTTTCTATCTCTTTTATTAATCTTTTACATCGTATACTGTATGTTGTTTTTATCGTTATCGTTTGATTGATTTTTGCTGCATATCGCTTTTTTTTTTACAAATTTGAAATTTACTTGAACAATTTCCATTTTTGCTAATTTTTGTATTATTCTGTCCTATATAGCTTATATAAAATGGTATAAATTAGTTCTTGTCTATATGTAAATAATCAGACTTAGAAATAGTCGTAAACAACCATTACATCTACACAATGGTTGAATGATAGTTTATTTAATTGTTATGCCCGAGAACTAATTAAATCAATAGTTCTTTTTGCTAATAACATCTGACAATTATATGTTCTGATAAGCACCAATTTGACTGCGTCGTTAATTGATATGCATAGCATTTAATTTAATCATCGATCTTTCTTGTGAACTCGAGTTAATATCTTTTAGCTATTAGAAGGCATGCTCGGCTGGTGCTGACAGAGTTAACAATGAAATGGCTTTGTAATTAATACTAATAACCTGGGTAGCATCGATAACGGCAACAAATTAAGAAAAATATATTTAACATTGTATTGTGTTCTCAATAGCGCAAAACTGTGATTAAAAACATAATGCTTACGTTAATGATCAATTGATTAAAGCAAAGCGTGTTTGAAGTACGCGAACGGTGCCAAACAGAAGCAATAAATAACTAGCTGTTTGATAGAAGTCTTTAAAGAAAAAAATGTGATGATGATTAAGCAACAAATAGAGTAATCGTCTTTAGAAACAAACATCTTTATAAATATACAAAAAAAACTATGATATGAAATTGAAATATGGGTTTCAATTTCATCTTTTTGATTTCAGTGTCTGGAAAATTGTGACATTTTGCAATAAGTGCTTTAATAAAAACCGTTAATGAACCTTATTATTTTATCGTAGATTGTGATAACCCGCTTTCTAGTGCCCTCCCCCCCCCCCCCCCCCCCCCAAAAAAAAAAAAAAAAAAAAACCAACAAAAAACCGCTTATGTAACAAATGAACATATATTAAACTTTACTTTTCGGAGGACGGAAATGTCGACATCAATACCATTTTGATTTTTTTCAACTGAAGTTTCTCACGGAATTAAAAAAAGTTTAAAAAATAATCATTAAAAAATAAATGAATAAATAAATCTATCTAAAGTGTTATGACCGTCCAATTATATGGGTATTTAGTATTTTCCATAACAATACGATTTTCTTCATAAATTGTATAGCTTGCAATGCTTGCGTGTTCCACATGCTTTGTAGATTTCTCACCATATCGGAAACCATACTTTTAAATGACTCAGAATTATAAATACCGTCCTATTGTCTATTTGTGAGTAAAACGTGTGATTATCTCAGCTACAGTTCCTTATTTGTCAGTACGTTTAGAGTATATTTGTCCGGAGTGACAATGCTAATTTTGGGGAGTACGAGTTATATGTTAGGGAGAGAGCGCGGTAATTATGACTTACTGGTGTAAACTCTAGACGAAGATGAGGGGATAATTAGCTAGAAGTAATACGTGGGGAGGGAATCCACGGGAAACCATTATCTTTCTTTAGATGTTAGCCAATAGGAGTTCGTGACGTTGATTAGGTTTGAGGAAATATATGGCTTCACCGATTGTAGATAAGTTTAGACGAGGAAACCTTAGCCGTTCTCTGACTGTTACCGTGATCACTGTTCGCCTACCGCATACTACAGTAAAACGAATGTGTGCTCAGTGACCAGTCATTCCTTCTAAAAGTCAAACTCACAGAAATACTATATTTGTTTGAGATTATGAACCAAGAGAATATTTCTAGGTTTACCAGTTGTTCATATAATTTATGACGTTGAAAAAATTGCTGGCAAAAGTTTCCCTTCTGTATTACACCCAAAACAAATTAAATAGTCAGTCAATGCTGTCCGACATTTTCCATTTATACTGAAAACTCTAAATACTGAAGTGATAAGTAATGAATAGTGAATAATACCAACACCTAGAACGCAAATAGCGGCAGGCAATGCTTCATTTTCATATTTTCGAACTTGTAAAATGGAAATAATGCCAATAAACGCTGTCCTTGCATATTTCTTAACTTCTGCATTAAAATCGACTACCAGTAAACGTTTACCCTGCAGACTATGTTTTTTAAGTGTTCAAGGTGTCATTCCATTAATTTGACATTTGTAATGATTTGTTTCCCGTCGGTTTTGCTTACTCCTGATGTTGTTTTTTATTATTGTTTAAATGTCTACCTGATATCTTTTGCCTTTCTCCTATTTATGTGTTTCATTTATTTCATATTCAACTATGTTTATTTCTTGTTTTAGAACTGATTAGAACTGAGATAATTGTTTCCACTAATCTGAATATTTGAAAGGTTCAATAAATACCATATGACTAACTGAATTTGTAGATCAGTTTTCGAACGAAAATTATAACATTACTATAGCACATTAACATAATGAAGCCAACATCATATTACACATTTTAAAGAAGTTTTGGGTATGCAACAGCTATTCACAGAATTGATTCGTATTTCAAACGCAACAAACCACGTGGATGTTGATATTGCTGCAAATTTAAATAACCTTTAACGAGAATCATTGTGATTTAACCCGAATTATGCTGACGATGTTTTATGTAATACAGAGCTAGTGTTTCAGTTTATCTGATAAGTCCTGTAACAAGCAGTTCCAGTTGTTATATACAAGCCAAAATACTAATATCAGGTTAATATTGATTGACAAATTCTCGCATAAAATAATTAAATAAAATTGCCTATCCACGCGTTTCTATAAACAAATGAAAATTTGATATTTATAAATAATGACAATTATTGCAATTTCAATAATAAGGAAATGAATATGACATTTCAAAAGGAAGTAAACATATTTTTGCTACAGTATAGCCAACAATCGATAGATTAATATTACATTTAACAATGAGTACACCTACTTATGATAATAAAATAATAGAATGCTACGAGTTTGGAGTTATTGTTGCTAAATAACTCATTTTATCGTAACATATAATTCCTTTATTGTTTTATCTTCTGTTGTTTACCTACAGCAAAGGTTTTATTTATCTCCTGCGCGCCACCAAGATTTGTTTGCACTCTAGTTTAAAAGTATCTAATCAACCAATTATAAAAATGCATTTCAAATATATATTTTTGTTTTTGTTTAGGTCATCAAGATCCAAGCTTTTACTTCCATCCATACCGAAAGCCAAAACGCATTAGAACAGCTTTCTCTCCTTCACAGCTTCTGAAATTAGAACACGCATTTGAGAAAAATCACTATGTGGTTGGACAGGAAAGGAAGGATTTGGCGGCCAAACTAGGTCTTACGGAAACACAGGTAAGAATTAATATATATATATACATATAAACCGTCAATATTACAGTTTTTCTTCAAATTTTAATTTAAATGATTAATTAAAATTCTCACAATGAGGCCTATTGTCCAAATCAAGTAATATCGTATGTTGGACGACATTGTTATACAAACACGTCTCATTAAATAAGTAAGAAAGATATGAAAAGAAGGTTTTTCTTAAAATACTTTTTATTGTTCTTAAATTCCTTATAAGTGTGACGTGCTTCATTACATTAACAAGCACCTAGGTGACCCTATTGTTAACACTAAAAGTACTAATCGTGTACTTTAGTATGTGTTTTTATAACTTTTTTTTTGTAATCAAAATACCACCTTTGTATCCTATATTCTACATTAACGTGATATATGAACCTGATATTATCTAAATCTTATTTATACATGGATGCATTTGAGTGCAAATTCAGCCTTGATGAGGTGTAAACTTGATATGACTGATGAGATGTTGAGATATTGCAGAAAATCTAAAATAATCAAAACAATTATTACACCAATAGAAACGCCGTAAAATTCTGACCAAATATCTAATAGAGACTTGTTATGATATTAATGTCTAATGTTTTGTTAACATTTTTCACTTTGCCAAACGTTTTGGTTAAAAAAGTACATCCTATGCACTCCTGGATTAATTGATATTTTACACCATTAAGCACGGAACGTTAAGGTTTATCTGGCGTTCCTAATGTTAGGCCTAACATAAAATGTTTGTTCATCGCAAAGACCGAATCGCCATTCTCTCTGCAGGTCCATGATTACCAATTCCCGATAAACCAGTATGTACCCACCCCATGCATAATGGAGCCTTTTACACAGCCACATTATCTTTATTACTTTCTACAATTAAAAGTTAATTGAACGGTTGCCATCGCTGTTTACTATTTACAGTGTAGCAAATCCCCAACCAGGACATCGTAAAGCGATCGTCTTCCCTTAATATCACATTATGTTCCACATGTATGTGATTCATACTATATTTCCTGTTACCATGGTTCGCTGATCAAAATGTAGGGTTATTGTTTCGATAACATGAAGGTTATGTCTGTCAATACGCTAATGAAACATAATAAATTGTAAACAAAACTAATGCAGTATATTAAGTTAAGAGATCAATGTATAATTTTGAATTATAACTTTTTGTTTCGTTGTTATTAATTCCCAGTTTGTCAGTATGGATTATAAAAGCAAATTATCTGAAATGATAATTTAGTCATGATGATTAAGCAGAAAATTAAACTCATCACTGACCTGTCTTCCTCAATGTATCGCAATACTGCACAAAGCTGAAAATGCATACATTCAGAAGCCAACATCCTTCTGCAGTTGTCTTGCCTTTCGCATATTACCCACCTTCTGAACACCCCTCTGTGTTCCCAACGTCGTCCTGCTGTATCCTCCATCCATAATACCTTTATGCTCTTAAAACGGATATTTTTCGCCTAAAATTACTTTATCGTGTTTTAAAAGCCTACTGATAGAGAAGGCAACAGGGTTGGCTGGGCAAACAAGAGATCGAAATAGCACCCCATAGACTTTATCATTTCGTTGCTAATGATAGAAAACGATGCATTGAGCCAATGTATGTAGCTTGAAGTTTGCCTTTGTGACAGTTAGACCTGAAGTTAAATAACTGAATTATTGCAAAATATTTACATAAACAGAAATAAGTGAAACCAGCAATACCTTTAAGCTATGAAGAGTTAATCAAGTATGTGGTAAAACTTAAATAACAAACGATATAATAAAAAATTCAAATATTTTATAAAAGTTGTGTGACACGTATCCAAAAGCCCTTAGAAAAGAGAACGATTTTAAGGTAATGATAATTTCGTTTCATTAAAAAAAAACCTAGCAAATAACGGGTTTTGTACATGCGTATTGCATCTTAAATTTTTATGACAACAAAATGTGGTAACGGTTTGGTTTCGCGCATTTCCGAACATAATAACAACCAATAAACGCTGACAAAAAATACGAATTGTCTACATAAATTGAGTTTCTTTGAAAATCGCGAGTTTTGTCCATGTTGTTTGACCAATTGGCGTCTGGTTGATGAAATAATTTTTATAAAAAAATGTTTAATATTAATTAATCATAAAATACATATCAAACCATAAGAAAAAACCAACCAAAAAACAAAAATGGATGAACCATGACTAAAGTTTGGAAAATAAAACACCATTAAGTGGTCAACCTTTAGCATTCCTTTCTAAATAAATTACAGAAGTTACAAAAGGGTAATGAAAAAAATGCGATGTTTGAAGATCTAGCCCAACCAATGCACTTTGGAATTTAATGTTACCAGGTGACTTTGTCTTTGTTCTGGTCAGTAAAAGAAAATGTCCTCTAGAGAACCTCTATGTAACTAAGACAAACAAGGGCACATGATGAAAGGAAAACTATTCTGCTTAAAACTAAATTGTCTGATAAATGTAGTTCTTTAGAAAAGTAATTTGTCTTACAATGAGAAACCAAATAAAGGTAATTGAACTTATTTGAATTTATACTCATTGCACCGGGAGTCTTGGAAGCACTTCGTCCTTGTGTTATGTAACACGGTACCGGAGAAAGAAACAAATAGCTCGCTAATTCAATTAGACCCTTGCTTACCAAGTGGTGTTTGATACATAGATAAGCGTGTTAAAATAGTCCATAATAGATTTTTTCTGAGAGCTCTTGACAAATAAGTGGTAGGTTTTCAATGTCTAACTATACTATGGATCAATGACATCCGAAACAAATGTTCAAATGACTCCACAGAAATCAGTGTAATCTTGATCATAGGTCGCTGACGAACTGCCATACAGTCTAATTAGAAGCACTCGAGAATTCATTAAGCTTAGGAAATGTGCAATGTAATGGAAAGATGCAGTGTGTTTTTCCTTCCTACTGTAAAACTTTAACGTTGAATATAACAATACAATTTCATAAAATGAACAGCAAAATGCCATTTGAGTCTTTTACGAATTTGACTTTTGACACGAAAACAATATACCTCCGCGATTGTGTTACACAGGTTCCTGTCATCTCAATGTTACTGCGCTGGGTGGATACCCTAATAATTAATGCCAATACATTAATAACACTTCACCAATGTAGTGATAAATCAGATTTGACATGAAATTATCTTCAGAAGTCTCAAATATTATCAAGGTAATATAAACTAATGACCAAGAAGCATGTCAATATAATACATATAAATGTCATTTACATGTTCAATATACACGTTGAGTTATCGACAAAACAATAAGGTGTGTCCTCGAAGCAAGTAATTTGTCACACGCAGGTGAGCCAGATCCTGCTAACTATTCTTACAGGTGGGCATGGTCGTTAGACAATAGCTCCCTGTCATTCATGTAGTTCATAGGTTACTACTTGAGCAGATTACACTTTTTAGTGGAGGACATAGCTGATGTCTTGTTCTGATAAACAAGCCACTAGTTTTGTTTGTATGCCCTAATACTGTCACGAATAATCGTTTAATCAAAACGTATTATGCATATGCAAATGATGTTAAGGGCTATGTCACTGTCGCGTTTTGGCATTTAGATTGAATATATATCATCTAAAAATAAAGTCTCTCCTAAAGTATAAATAAACAGTGTTTTTACCAGTATAGTTACTATGTACTATTTCATTAACATATAGGTAATTAATTCATTTTAAAAAGTTTTTATAGCAAAATTGACTAAAAAAGTGGTTTACAAGTAAATTTGATATCAAAATCAGGGAACTTTAATATGTAAAGCTACATCAATATCAGATGATATATGGTAGTTTACTATTTTATTTAAATATCACACATATTTTTATAGTGCGTAAATAAGAGTGTTTTAACATAAACTGTATCAGAGGTAAAACATTAAAATAACATAAATTTTAAGTTTGCACCATCATAAACCAAGCATAGATATAACTTGATATAGTCAGATAAAAGTATGCTGTACTAAACGATAATAATGCGGCCCTACAACGGAGTACACTTGCAATTTTAATAAATTATCTGTAAGTATATATCTGTCAGCAGATGGGCACATTAACTTCACAAAAGTCACCTGTTTACCTACAATTAATAATCTTTACCGTAATAAATATAAAAATTAAATGTTAAGAAATATTTTCGTGATGATATAACATAATATAAATGCAAAGAAATACAACTTAAGCTGAGAAAAAAAGCAAAAGAAAAAAACCATAATGACATATTAGAATTAAATGCATACACATATCTAATTGCAACCTATATATAAGAAAATAAACAGGGGTTAAATAACTTAACAGTAAAAAACATTTATGTGAGTACTTACTTGACGTCATGTGTTTTATTACAAACATTGACTTAATGGGTATGCATGAGTCGGTTTACACATAATTAGCATAAATTACTTTAAACAAAGCAGGAAAGATTCATGTGACAGCAGAGGGGACAACTCTCTTTGCGAGATAAATTATCATAATTTGTCGGAAGGTATGCCCATTAATTAATTCTAAATTATGCAAATTGCATTCATTTATAATTTTCAACGTTCTTACGTGTGTTACATATTTTCCTATGTAAATGTATTTTCTAAATATTGAGAATATTTACCAAAGTCGCATAATAAGAGTTTGTGAATTTAAAAACAGGATAACGCAACTTGATAATACTTTAAGAACCGAATCAAAACTGATTACATGCAAAACGTTAGTGTTTAATCAATTAAGAGAGATATTCTTAATTTGAATGCATGAAACTGGAGATTTTTTTTAGGAATAAACATATATATTTATTTGCTTATATTGATCTGTTAACCGAATAAGTTGTAGAAGACACTAATCAATAGAAAATTTAATAATAAGTTTAATATTCTATACAGAACATGTTTGTCACGGTAAAATTTGTCGCTGATGTTTGGTCAGAACGTGAATCAGGAAATTCAAAATTGTTCGAAATTAATATAAAGATATAGGACGGGTTTACATCATCATTCAAATTTTGTATTTTGAAAATGTTTGATAACTTGTTTAAATCAACAACCGTGTCTGTAAATAAATTTCATCATTGAAAGACAGTGTACGGAGAATAAAGTCCGTGGACTTTTCCCTTTCCATTTTAATAGTATGTATTATTATTTCCATTTGACCAAATATATAATATCTTTCTCTCGTCGCTTACTGACTGAAAAGGGAAATGTTTTATCATGAATTATTTTGAAAGTAATATATAGATAAACTTTATCGTTATTTAATTTTCTATTGAGTCAGTGCGGTTTATCATATAAATATCTTTTGAGGAAAGCTTAAGTTCTCAGATGTACGCGGTTCAAGCTTCGATGTGATTTTGAGATAATTAATATTATCTATATATTCTACGGAATATCACACAAAATCCTGAGGCCGTGACTTCTGTAGATGAAAACTCTCCGCGGGATGTTGCCTACAAATCATCAGCTGAATTAAATATATACATTTTTGTTTGAATATGTAAATATTTTCATCATTATCTTTGCCTTTACCTTTTCGTTTTTTCTTAGTAGTAGTAGTACTAATCATAATCTTATCTAGTAATTCGTATTCATGAGCACAAACGAGGTCGGATTCCCGCTAGTGTATGTAAGATATATTATATATAATACATTATGTGACATTAGAATTAAACAGTTCCTAAATCGCACACTTTCCCGTTGTGCGGTGTCTCATTACTCGCGTGATAGACGATAAATAAATCGTGGCGTGCTGACTGAAATGCTGTTTCTATGATAAAGAATACGTCGCTTCCTTCACCATTTATAACATTAATAGGCTAATTTCAGAAGAAGTTATTACCCTACCTTAGAACGTAATCTTTAAACCTGCTGGAATCCAACAGACTTAAAGATTGTCATTCTCGCCCGGAGCATGGATACCGCAGAGACACTATTTCGTCGTCCGTATAACCTTAAAATCATATTTCAATAACTTTAATAATGTGCCACAAATTTTATTACAATCGAGCCCTAATCCATTTAATTTGGCATTATTCTGACGGCAGGGGTTGTTTGTCCGGCCGGGCGATAGGATTTTGGTACTAAAACACGAGTCGGTACGAACTAGATGGATCGACAGTCAGTCAGATATCAAGTTACCTCGTACATCACAGAAAACAACGACCCTCGTCCCACCTTTCACACGACACGGCCATTTTAAAGATAATTTCAATTTCATCAAGTGCAAATTTGCAAATTTTAAGATTCCAAATTGAATATAACAATCAGCATTTAATACACAAACAACTCATTCTATTGTGTCTTGGGGAAAGATGATACCACTTGTTCGAGGAATTTTTATTACTCACAATTCGTCGATGGCCTTTCCTTGCCATTAGAAAAAAGCTCCTTCGGGTAAACGACATAGACTAGCAACTCTTAAGAGTATGACGTTGGTTGGTTGAAATGTGGATATCACAACATTTGGAAATACACCCGTCTCAGTACGAGATCTATCCTAATAGGTGCTAAATATTCCGGTCATTCATTGTATAAAGTAACATTAGATTAACTTTTACTCTGCCATGGTGCCAAGATCTAGGTAATTGTATCTTCGGCGAAAGCAGACAAGTAATTGTGAACATCATAGATGATCGTTTTCGAACAGAATTGTCCTTTGTAGAATTAAAATCATTTTCCCATCTTAACAGATAGCCCATAGCTTAGGTGGTAGTCGTCTGGTGTATACCAATCAAAACACAGAAAGGATACTTCTTTCAAATAATGTAAATGACAAACATCAACTACATAAATGACGGTATATGAAAAGCACAGAGTAAACAAGATCATACACAAAGAAAGAGCTTTGAAAAAAGACGTATGATATTTTCTGTGTTAGTTGACTGAAATTAACATCCAATATATTGAAAACGTGATACGCCTGCCAAAGGCTGTTCGTTGAAGTGCAGGAATTTTAATCCTTTTTTTCTGATTTTTTTTTTAAATTGTGAAGCTATTGATCGTTTGATATCAGTTCTGATCTACTCAAATTATCGACGAGGGGTTACGACGTTGCATCACAGTATTTAATCTCTTGGTGCTTTCTTTTGTCCTGGCTTCTCTGTGAACACATCGGTTCTCGCAATGCAAACACTGCGATTTGCACCTTCGGGTCTTTAGTGGTAATTCGACAAATTGTCAATTCATATAAATCTCTAATAGTTAAGCTCTCGTCTCATATTTTTTATGCTAAATGAACGCCGAAAACTGCTTTTATTAAGTTTGAAAAACCTCTTAGGGTTTCGGAGACCTTTCAACATGACCGTAATTAGTCGACAAAAGGTGTCAGAGCAACTCTTTACTATCTGCCAATGCCACCCCAGACACAGCATTCGTATACTCACAAAGACTGCCAAGATACTTGGTCGCCTTGCTGTCTTTGATGATCCTAACTTAACTAGAAAATTGTCTCCTGATTATAAGACGGAAGACATGTTTTACTGGAGAACTGTTCATGTGTTCATATATTGACAAATATCGTATTTCGCTGATATATGTATAGGTCATGAAATTCAGTTTTGCTAATTGATTTTTGCTAATATTCTATTTTCCATTTTATTTCAATGAACGATTTTTAAGTCCAAAGATGTTCAAAGACATTGCTAAAATTTCGTTTTGACGGTTGTATGCCAATAATTTTTCTATAACTAGTACGTTATAATTGAGTCATGAACAAAGTGTTTCATTTCAGTTTAAGCACAATGTTCTTTTAAATATTTTCATAAATTTCATTTTTTTTATTCCTTAAGAATATTATTAATTCAAATCCCGAGTTGATCGTCTGCTTCAGGACACCACTGCGCATATTATCAATTGTCATAACTGTCAACTGTATTGGTTAAAATGTCATATTTGATGTAATGAACATGTTTTGGCTTAGAATTTACATAATGATGGTACAGTAAATTAGCTCAAATTATGACACACCAGGTACCGCTCCCATAGCACCATTTACAAGGATGATTATGCGCAGGATATTATTATTTTCAATAGAGTGCGAAAATACGCATAATAAAATCGCATTTTATTGACCAAAACTAATTTTAAGCTAAACTATGTAAATCTTTTATGAAAAAACTCTGACATCTCATTTATACTTTCCGACAAGAGTGGCTCGACTTGGATAATTTTGGATGAACACGCACGCTCTCAGGAGTCTCTGAGAACAACCCCTGTATTTTGACACGTGTTGGATGAAAAAAACTCGATATATCATGATATTTAAATACCACAGACCCAACAACACAAACGTTATATTGACTATATACATAGTAGCTGGCGTTTCCGTTGAACAGACAATATTTGTTATTCTAAAAAAAGCTAAGGTATAAAATAAAATCAGTGTTTAAGACATTAAAAAAATATAGTTGTTTTATGTATATTTTCAGGTGAAAGTTTGGTTCCAAAACAGAAGAACAAAGTTCAAAAGAGTAAAATCTGATGACGATGAGGCTCAGGACGATACAGAAGGACAACACCAAGACGATATTAATGTCACGGACTACCACGAGGGGGCGTCTGAATCTGACAGCGAGGAAAATGAGTAGCAGCATGTGCAAACATAATATTCAGACTGATATACCGAAACGTGTATGTGCGACATGCACGTGCATTTCATTTGCATTAAGTGTTTCAAGTCTATTTTCATTGGAGAACGATGAAAATTGATATTAAGTAAAGGTTTTGTGAGAATGTACACAGTACAAAACATTGCTAGTTTGTTTTTAGATATTGTATCACGAAGCTTTCTTATACGGACAGTGAAGGAGTTTAATGGAGCTGATTGTGTATGTTAATTATCTAATATAGATGTGAAAACGACGCTTGATAACATTAGGATGACTTTTAATGTTAATTACATTCTAAGTTTAAAGAGATAAGAAAACGATGTGTATTTAACTCAAAATGTAATAATAAAATTTGTAATTGTCATTAAAGAAACATGTTAGAAGCCAAATCACTGTCCTAAAGAATTTTACCTCAGGGAGATATATGCAATACATTAGAGAATATAACGATGTGGTTCGGACAGTTCTATCATGAACGTTGAGCCAGTTACACAATATGATTGAAATTAAGATGTAAATAGTGTGTTTGATAGTTATTGTTCAATTCCTCTGTTCAATCATATATATTTTATTTACAATTCTTACAAGACATATGTCCTTGAGTTAAATGTGTATGTACAAAGCTATTTCTATTTAAAGATGAGCAATGTAAAATGTGCATCATGATTTGTGTTCACATTTTTTTTGTCAAAAGAAGGGCTTTTCTGTTGAATCGTGTTTATCTACAATAATTATTTGGTATATTTCTCATCCTTTTTCACATTCTTTTTTGCCACATGTGCTTCACACTATCAATAAAAAAGATACACAATTTATTAGTGATTTTTTTTTCTTTTATCAATTTTACTAGAGGCATTATTTCAGCGGCACTAGTGTGTTAAAGCTTTGATTCTGGTGACTAAATATCGAAGAACTAGGATGTAATAAACTTGAATTTACATTAACGATTAACTTGTGTTCATTTTCCCTCTGGATTTGAATATTTGCCATTTGAGGAACGGATTTCTTAAATTCGTTTGAACACAAATACTATTTCACTCTGTCCTTCCCTTTCTGTGTTTTATTGGAAAAATATATCCCTTGCAAATGTATAACTCATTATACAATATTCCTCAAAGAACACCTTCATAGATATATTTGCAATACGCATCTCGAGAAGAATTTACTTTGCCTGTAGCTTATTTCGATGTAAGATCATGTCTTGGAAGACTTGCAAATTAGGAAGAAAAAAAAAGAAAACGAAGAACAAAATGTTAATAGAAACTGATGAATGAATTGCGTAATTCATATATGTTCCTATCTCTCCCCCATTTGTGTAGCAATAATAAATAAGAATCCGTAATCTCACAAAGAGGGAGTTTCACATTGCAGATTTATATTTATAACTTGTTAAGTTCCCGATATGCGATATGAGTATAAAGTATTATGAAGAATAAAGATTATCTAAAATCTCTAGAGGAAAAAATATTTTTATGCAAAAATTGAATAAATGTCCAATTACGGCCTTTTTATGCATGTTTTCTAAGAAATTGCCTTTAAATTGAAAATTGACCAATACGGATGCTTAAACCAGTAAATATACAGAAATGAAAGAAATGCATCCAAGAAGATGCTGGTCAGCTTATGATAATGCAAGCCTGAATACTTCAATACTATTGGTGTGCTAATTTTCGATGTTATAAACTTCTGAGTAGATTTTACTTTTGGAAAACCGTGGTAGAGTTAATCTTATCTGTTTATTTTTAATTTCTCGTTAGTTTCTCATCTTAAGCACAGCCAGATGTGCTCTGTAGTTTACAAAGGCTGCCAGCAAGATAGCAAGCAACCTTTAAGTTCCCATTCAATTGCATTCATTACAACTTCATCTCTCTATTTATGTCATTAACTTTTCTAAAAGGGATGAAATTTGGGGTCATTTTGAAGGAAATGAAGCGCACAAAACTCCTTCTTTAAATTGAAAATTTCTTAGAAACTGCAAATGGATGACAGAGGGGATTCTGTGTGTGATAATTGTCGGTTTTTAGCTGTAACTGACTGGTATTTTGTGGATGTGTTGCAAAGGCAACCAGGTAGACGAACACAAAGAGGATAAAGAAAGTCTCTCCACGACACTTTCACACCAGACTCAGGGACAAGAACAATTTTCAGTGACACGTGTTCATGTTACAATAATCAACGATATGTATAATTCACAGAAAATTGGCTGTAAAATTTACTAGTGTTAAATATGCAACGAAATTTGTATGTTCAATAAGTGGTTTGATGACATAACATTACGCAGTATATATTTGATTGCATTACCGTGTCTCATACCAATTTATTCCAAACAAAAATGTTTGCATATAAGTTTTGATAACTATTTTCTTTTTTGCATCTTATGATGAATGAATTTCGGGTAGAGGAATTATCGAGCACAGTCTGCAATAGATAATTTTGATACATGATTATTAATTCTCGAAATTGTTTCTGAAACTCGTAACCAATGTTTTGTTACTATCACATTTAAGTGTAAACATAACATCGGCATTATAAGCAGAAAGAAACAGATAGCCACATAAACATTTCCGCTAACCGACCAGAGAACTGAAAAGTAATGAAGATAATTAACCTCCCGGAACACCCAGAGTTATTCTCCTGGTACTTTTTATGACTCTCGGTGTAAATCCTTTTTTTATTCTTATCTTTTCTTGTTTCATCGAAGCATATTTTGAATTAAGATTCTGATGAGAAGACAGTATTTCTGTACTTTTTGTACCTGCAAGTAAACTTTCATTATTCTAAAACTTTCATTTCTACGTCGAGAAAATATCTCCTTAAATTAATCTCTAATTAGTTTCATCTGCTGTCGAAAGTAAATGTCAAATATAAGAATTTGTATCCAGACGGAGGCCATTTGATTTAGTGGCGAAGTATCAAAATGTTAAGAGTAACCAACGGGAAGTACTGAAGAGTAAGGAGCTGTTATGTAAGCAGTCAACTTGGTGTAACCATTGTTCCAGAGAAGACATCTGAAATTTCAGACTTATTCCCTATAGAAATGTATTAGATTATTTTTCAATATCAAGGAACTATGATTAAACCAACATATATTTTCTATATTTTCTTAAAATAATTTTAACAAACACCAAAATCTCTACAGGATCTCCAAATTCCTTTACATTTTTATTCTTAATTTTTATTGAGCATTCGCACATATCAACAAAATATTATGAATAGACAAGAAATATCATCTTACATCACATGACTTGCAAATTACATGAAGTATATTTCGAGACTGATTAAGTCAGTTTGCATGATTGATATTCTACATTGAAACCTTGTTGTTCGTGCCAGTGAATAAGCAAAACAGCTTCAGCTATCAGCATGTGGCAGCGCCACTTCTTTGGTTTTAAAGCCTATTTCTTGTATACTTTGGTACGTATAATTTTTCATATAAGTAGGGTATCAATTGCATTTCTACAAGTTATCAATGAAAGGAAACAAAAATGAAGTATTTTATTTACTCAACGTATACGTTTTAAAACAGAATATATGTTTGCATTGCGTTTAAATATAAGCACCATTGCATCTTATGATACTTGACACGCAATAGAGGAAATCGGGGATGACGTCTTCAAATTTATTATATTATACAATGTTCGAATCTATGAAAGCAAGGTTTGCTTCATTTCAGGAGTATATATGACAGACCAGGCAAAAAAGTGAAGAGCACAAGTGTCACATTTGAGACTATTTTAGCTGCCGAACATTTGACACACCAACAAAAGTACTGGAAGCCTTTATTTGTAAAACGATACCCAAACTGTATCTTAAATGGCAAATTATCTTGAAATGACTCAATAATAACACCTAATATCAAATATCAAGAAAGCTTTTGTCTGTAGAGTGTGAAGCCTTGGGCTAAATAAGACAGTAATGAGTTGGTAATCGAAACAGCCACTAGTCTGTGAAACCTGGCAAATTCAAAGACATATAGGATGACACGTTGTCATAACACCAAAGGTCATTGCTGGCAATCCGGGTTACACAAAGGCTTGTAATAATAGTACCGTGGCCAATACAAGACGCTGACCTGCACCTTGTTATCTTTCAATCTATGACAACTTTGGATGGATACATAGGACATTGTATTGGGCACAATATCTGGCAAACATCCTAGAAATCGCGAAGTGTGTTTCTATAAAATCGCAGTTGAAGTGAAAACATTTCAGTCGTTATTTTGCGTTTTGGGATACGCATGCTGGAATAGTTTTCCAATAAAATATATACAGTAATTAAAATTAAACTATCCATTTTTATGCTGCTATCGTTAATGATGGAAGTTTTGCTGACGAATGTACCTAGTTAAGATTTATTGATGTTTAATATATTTATCTTATCTATGTAACATTTGGAACGATGCTACTACCAGGTCAACGTGTCCTCTTGTACCATATATATCACACATGGGTCCCTAATACGTAGGTTAGTTTGTCCCCCGTCCTCTAACGTAGCGTAATTGTAAGTTAAATGTCTAGATACGTTAGAAGGTACATTATCGACACTTGAATTATTCAGTCCTGATGTTGGGGACATTCATTCTTATAACTTTGTTGACCTAACAGGTCAGTAGCTCGTATCCTAGACAGTAACCTTGAGTGACCTCCGGGAAATCGTGTTCCATTGTCTATAATGATTTACAATGTAACAAAAATAGACGAGTAAACGTGATTAAAAATTGATAAATGAGGCTAATCCAATTAATTTCCATTACATGTGTTTACAATTTTTCGATAAAAGGGGTGCTATGTTAAATCATAGAAACAGTTAAATACAATAAAACTTCAGCAGCTGAAACTATTGCTTTCAGATTTTAATTTTCTTTTTAAAAATTGAATTAGAATAAAAATATATCAGATGAGTTAAATCTATTTTTTATGATCTATCCTACGTCATTGTGAACAGATCAAATGTACGGCAGTATAGGAAAGCATGGAATG